TGTCCTCTTGGAAGCACAGTGTCTACCGTGGTACTTTCTCTCTTTAGTTCGCGTGACTGGTCACGAACAGCTTCTAGTTGACGGGCCATTTTCTTTGCCTTTTCTAGGTTTAAGTCTGGGTCTAGCTGCATCCTTTCAGACAACTGTTGGTTTCTGATGCCAACTACTAGACGATCTCGGATCATTTCATCTTGAAATTCCCCATAGTCGCAGTTTTCCACCAACCTGTAGAGCTCCATAATGAACTCCTCTGTCGACTCCCCTTCCTGTTGAGAGCGACGATTGAACCGGGCTCTTTCAAAAATGACATTGCGACGAACTTTAAAAAAGTCATCGAACTTCCTTAGAACGACTGTGTAGTCCCCTCTCTCAACTTCTGTGACTTTCATTGAGTCCAGAATAGCGTCAGATTCATCTCCCATGCAGTATAGCAGGGTGTTGACTTGCTTAGCAGCAGCATCTCCACTGAGACCTGATGCAATACGGAACTGTTCAAATCTCTTCCTCCATTTGGGCCACTCATCTGGAGTTTTGAAGTTAAACGAATCAGGGGCTTGTAGTCTGATCTCTGCCATAGTCTTTTACCGCTGCCACCATGTAATGTATTATAATATATATATAATAAATCAAAGGTGTGTACTTAATAATTAGTGTATGCATAACTATACATGTCATTACAAGTACAGTTACACCACACATCAGCTGGTCATCTTGGGTTTGTTAAGACCCTTCTTCGACGGAAGAGTAAAGTCTATTGGGTTGGTATGCTACTGATGTTAAAGCATACTGTGATTCTTGTAATATTTGCAACAGGTCCAAGCCACCTCTCCCTCCACAAGCTCCCTTAGTAAACACTCCTATTTGCAAGCCATGGGAAATGTTGGGAGTTAATATGCTTATAGTACCTATTTCAAGCAGGGGAAATCAATATAATATTGGTCATTTAAGACTATTTTACCAAGTGGCCTGTTACTATTCCCATGCAAGGTCAAACAGCCAACACCATTGTCCAAGCCTTTGTATCTACATTTACAGTGGCGGATCTAGGGGGGGGGTTGCTGGGGTTGGAACCCCCCCCCCAAAACATTCTAACTCATAAATTTTTAATGTTTTCATTGCTGCAATAGTGGTACAGTGCTAACCACCTAGTTTATATAGCAACATTACTATGGTTAATGAATATAATTAACAAAACAAGATCTCCAAAAATAGTGGAAATGATAATTTTACAGTGATTTTAACCACAAAATCGCGCCAAAAATGGGGTGTGGTCAAAATTGTGGTGCACTTCACGCACCATTTTATTTTGCAACCCCCCCCCCCTAATTTCCAAAATCCTGGATCCGCCCCTGCATTTAGCACATATGGTGTTCCTTCGGTACTTCATTCAGACCACAAGGTGCCAACTTTGAGAGCATTATGCTTCGTCAAACATGTAAGGCTTTTGGTATCCAAAAGTCTAGAACCACCTCATACCACCCACAAGGTGATGGTTTAGTGGAATGCACCAATCGTTCTCTATTGCAGTTGCTGAGGTCATATTGCAAGCAAGCAAGTGACTGGGAGAAATGGCTTCCCCTCCTCCTCTATGCCTATCACACTTCAGTCCACTCTTCTACAAGAACCACACCATACTTGTTAATGTTTGGCCGGGAGCCAATATTTGATGCAAAT